CCGCGGCGGAGGCAGGGCATGGCGCTGCCGGGGGAGCGCGGCGCGGAGCCCCAGCCCGGCGCCTCCCGCCCCGCCGAGGATGAGGAGGACGGCGGCGGGGCCGGCGGGCAGCCGGAGGCGCTGTCGCTGGGGGAGATCCTCAGGCTCTACAACCAGCCCATCAACGAGGAGCAGGCGTGGGCCGTCTGCTACCAGTGCTGCGGATCCCTTCGGGCCCGCGCCCGTCGCGGAGAGACCCCCCTCGCCAGGCTGGGGGCGGCCGCCCACCTCCGCGTCTGGCGGGACGGCACCGTCACCCTGGAACAGGGCGAGCCCCACCGTCCGCCACCGCCCGCCGCAGGTAAGGCCGGGCCCCGCCGCCAGCGTCCGTCCGCCGTTCCCCCTCCTCAGCCCCCCGGGCACGGTCCGGCCCGGCAAGGGCAGCAGCCGGGTGCGGGCGGCCGCCCTTCTCCCTCAGCCTTTGTCCGCGGCGGCCGGGAGGAGCCGGTCTCCGTCCCGCTGGCGGGTTGCGGTGGGCGAGCGCCGGGCTCCTCAGCCGTGGTGTGGGGATGTGTGTGCGGGGGAGGTGGGGGGGGACACAGGTCGGTGCCCCTCTACCGCCTGGGCTCCCTGCGTGGAAAGGCAGAAGCCGTGGCCTGGGATGGAAGCGCCCGGCTGGGGGTGTCGGGTTGGGGGGGAGGGAGGTGAATGCGGGTTCAGCGTTTTATAATTGCGTCGTTTAATAACACTGTGTCATCCGCCCCCGCGCCCCCGGCTCCTTCGGCCCAGCCGCCCGCCCCGCAGCGCCTGCCGGGGAGCAGCTTGGCATCAGAAGGGCCCTGTCAGAAATAGATCCCTTTCAGGGGTGTGCTGGCATTAAGTAAACGATAAAGCCCTGTGCGCCCTCCAAGGGCTTAGCACCCACCATCTGTTTCTTTAAAATACCCAGGAAAACGTATTTTTTGCGTTGGAAATGCAAAGAAGGGCGCCTGTCTGTTTCTCAGAATCTCTAAGCTGCTGGTTGCGAATGTGGAAAGGAATATTTGTTTGTTGTTGTTGTTGTTGTTGCAAGTAAAGCTTGATTTCTGGAAAGAAACTAAGGCTGGGCAGCAGGAGGGATGTGGTCAGTTACCAGGCAGGTGATGGTGTTCCCTGGCATCAACCTGCTCCACGTTCAATGTCACTGAATTTTCCAGGAAGACAGAGGTTTCAGGACTTTGAAGTTACGTGAAGCAGAAGGTGATAGTAAATTCACAAAATGGGATTAATGGAGTCTTTAGCGTTTAGAACCTGGATATTATGTCTGGTGTTAGAATTGAATGAAACCTTTTAATACAGTGCCTGTCTGGAAAGTCTTTTGGCAGAGATTTGCAGTAATCCAGTTTGGAGCTAGTAGTACATGCTAATGTCAAAATAGACTCGGTGGAAGAAGGGACATAATTTTGTTCCACAATTGAAATGAGTCTAATGATGACTTCCAATTAAATGTGATCTGATGTGCTTTTTAAATAATTTTTAGAAATGGGTTATTGTAGCATTAATAAAATGCCAGACCAACACCTATAAGTTCCAGGGAAATACTTTCCTGACCAAGGCATCTGCATGTCACAAGAGCATTGAAGGTTCTGTATTGCATAGTGTGTGCTGCTTTTACTTACAGTGTTTCAAGATGATAGCAGACTTCTTCCTTTCTCTTTGCTACTGTGGGAAATATATTGATTTACCATGTATATCTTTCTTTTGTTGCTTTTTCCATGCTGTTTGGGGGCTTATTCTGTTTCCTCTTACAGTACATCCTCCATGGCCCGTAGGAAGGTGTTGGATATATCTGGGTGTAAAGTTCAGGCCCCTCACTGACATTCAGCATATTTAGTTGATGCTAAAGCTGCATGCCACATCTGCATTAATATTTTAAAATGTTTTAGTTAACATGTGCTAACCCGTGTATGTTGATACCGCATTTAAATCTTTGGATAGATGAGACCTTATTTTTTAACTTCTAGTCCTGACTATTTTTCTCGTACCTCTTTTATTTTTTTTAACATATGCGCTTATTTCTTGAAAATTTTAGAGTGTGTGTGTTTATTTATATGTAAATAAAGATAACCAGTCTGCTAAGACTTCCCAGGAAAGCATGAGGGGGGAGATAACCTGGGGAGAGTACCCCCTGTGGTCCGTGTAATAGAAAAGGGGAGGAGGGGAGTCTTCTGCCAGATGTCCTTTCCTAGACCATACTCAGTGATCCCATTTTTGCATCAGCCACAGGCTGGTAGGCCCCTGGGCTTGAAAGAAGGCAGTATTCCTTCTGGGATCCTCTCCCTGCCCCTGGTCTTCCTCTCCCTAGTTTTGAACAGACTTCTGCAATACAGGCCATTGCTCAGCATCCGAGTTTTTGCAGAGGATTTCATGTGTTTGTGGGGGTAGCTGTCAATGACATGAAACAAAGGTAGTCCTAGTCAGCTGGCTTTTATTTTTCTTTGGTTGTGGAACCTGTAGCAGGTTTTCACCAGAAATTGCCATACGTGTGATACAGTGAATGTTGGTAATTCACTGTACTGAATACTGAAGAGTTGACAGCAGACTCGCTTCTCTTTAGTGTCTTTTGAACTGTCCCAGTTCTTTTCCTTACTGCTCGCCGCAGTGTCCTTAGGTGATGATTAATGAGCTTTCTGAGCCAGTTTCAGCTTGAGCCTCTTGAACAGGTATTTATTCTTAGGCTTATGTATTCTGCTTAGTAGCAATGAGAGCTTAAGAAGAACCATTGCCCTGGCACAATGACTTGGGGAGCAGTATATCGTCGCATAGGCCCTGAAGCTGTCTGACCACGTTAATTTTACTCTTGAGATACAAATTAAAGTTTTCTTGAAAAGAAGTACTGATTATGTAGAAACCAATGGTACTTTTCCAAAGCCGTTTCTTGCGAAGCAGTTTTCTGGTTCACGCGCAATACTTGAAATTCCAAGTACAAATACCTAGAAGTTGAATAAAATGTCCTCGAGATAGGAAATAAAGATGAGGTTCACTGATACTAGGGTGGAAAAACAACCTTGGACTTGAATCCCTGTCCTTAACCAAGACCAGAGGCAGACAGTCACATCTGACCAGTTTTATCTATGTGGTCTACTAATATATGGTTATCTTGTTTAAAAAAAATATCAAAAAGGTTTTAGTTAAATAGAAATAAAAAGATTAAGAATGAACACGTCAGTTCATTTTCATGTAAGCATTGATATTACCTGAATCCCTGGCAGGAGGAGGATCAGGAAGGATTGTTTTCCTGCCTCTGTATTTCAGACAACTTGGATTTAAATGCCTGTGTCAGGAGGTTTGTTAGAGCAATGGGGGTTCTGCGGGTTAACGCTTCGAGCTGTAAAGCTATTCTGTTGTAGCAATACATGAAAAATATATAGCTGTAGGTTGGTACGTAGATTTGAATAATTCACAGGAACAAGTATTGGCTGTTAGTTTCTATTTTTGTAAACAAGAGAATCCTGTGTGGGCAGATAAAGGAGTCCCCGAAGAATGGTGTCTTTGGGCAGCGAACATTCGGGCTTTGTTCAGGGTTGCGAAGAAGGATGTGATCAGTCATGCCTGTCACCAGAGCCCGGGCTAACTCAGGAGCAAACGCAGCCGTGTCACGGAGTTTGCCTCGGAGACGCTCACGGAGCGATGTTTTCACGGCATGTTGCAAACCTCATCATTTTGCCGGAACTGAAGTGAGTAAGAAATAAACATGAATATGCAGAAAATGAAGAGCTCGCTGTGGTCATCTTAGTATGAATCATTGTAACTGTCTGACATCTAAATACCACAGAAATGTGGGTTGCTTCGAAATACCCACGATGAAATTGGAGATACGGTGTAGAATGTATTTTTCCTAATGGGTGTTTTAGCTGCCTCTTTGTTACTTGCAATTTCTATGAAATGAGCCAAGAGTGGCATCTATTAAAGTGCCAGATGCAATAAAAAAATAACTTCTGAGGGAGCGAAGACGTTTGGTGTAAACATGTGGTTTGACTCCTCCAAGCTCTCTCCTTGCAGAACAGCGCTCGTAAGCATTTTTATAAACTTGAAGCAATAATAAAATGATAGATACAGGAGTAGAAAACCCACACAAGAGCTGGCGATCGATCTCACGCCCAGTATTTAGCAGCAGCAGGATGCCACAGGTAGGACACAGGAGGATGTTTCCTTGGGGTTGTGTTGTTTCTGTGAGCTGGATAAGGGGCTCTCGGTTCTCAGTGCACCGACTGCGCCGCCTCCTTCCAACAGGACAGTTTTGGGGATGAGCAGGCTTGGAAAAACTGAACGCTTTCCTCGCGTGTTTTGTTAGTGCCAGATCGATCTCTGACTTAGCAAAGGCAGCTGCTGATTTGGGGCATTGCACGGAGCTCCTGGAGAGAAACAGCCTTGAGGATCTCGGAAAGGGGTAAGGGCAGGTACTTGGGAAACCAAATCTTGCTGATTTCCAGCTGTCAGCTGGCACGCTCCTTGGTCTTCCCTTTCCCTCTGCAGGTAGTGTCAGTGGCCCTTTTTTCCCCTTGTCCTCCAGCCCTAGAGGAGAAAGCACAGAGGGAAATTACTGCTGGTTTTGTCAGAAGCAAGTACTATGCAGATTTTGCTCCTGGAAATATGCCAGACGTTCAGCGGGAGGGCGTAATGCATGGAGGATTCTGGCTTTGAATCAAAAAGATGACAGAGAAGTTGACTGCGCGGTGGCTTTCATGGGACTCGGAGGGCTCAGGGTGAGACACGCTGGAGGGGAATAACTTATGTGGTCTTGGCAGTTTTAAAGACATTCATGCCCTTCTTACACCCTCGTGTGCCCAGGTATTGGGAGGTATCATGGAGAAATGTAGGACAAATAAATGCAAATTTAGCTTGTGTGCATCAAGACATTCTCACCTGTCAGCCTCTTGTAGAGCACCAAGGAAAAATATGCAGGATTTTTAGAGGAAAATGAATGCACTGACGTTTTACTGCTAATTTTGTTGACCCTTTTGAAAGATAGTAGATGGGAGCAACCTTGCTAGCTGCTTAAATTTCAAAACAGATGTTGCTATGAATGCTGCTAAAATAAGTAGTATCTCTAGAATTAAGACTTAATTATGGTCTGAATTCAGATTTTTGTTCAAGCGTATTCAGAAACATCCGTATTTAAAAATAGTAAGGCTTGATGTATTGAGCCTCACCTTTTCCTGCAGTTTTTAGATAGATATCTATGCATCTCTATATAGATACGTTAATGTTGGAAGTCAAGGTAGGGAGAAAATGGCACTAGACAGGAGAGAGGAGCACTTTATCTCTGCTTGCTTGCTCTGCTTACCAGCAGAAGAGAGAAAGCTTAGGCCTTATTCATGC